CATACAATATTGGCATACTCCAAGATACTCCTGACACAAGACATATACACCACTTTTATACATTTAACACTTCTGAAGTCTTTAGTTGTTCGTTTAACATATCCCAACCTTTTTAAGGCTCTATTTTTGGTAATATCAATGTGGTAATTAAATGAAATCTTAGCATCAAAGTACACACCCAAATCCTTTATACAATTAACGGGTTCCACTTGAACTTGTTTTATCATATATGGAAATAAAATTATCTGTTTTAGACGGGAGAACCGCATAACCTTGCACTTAGAGATGTTCAATTGCATAAAATTTACTTCACACCAGTTATTCAGAGCATTTAAATCCGCTTGTACATTTAAACAATCATCAGTACAGGTTATTCTTGAATAAAGCTTTAAATCATCAGCGAATAATAAAAACTTACAATATTTCACATTAACACATATATCATTGACATAGCAATTGAATAGCAAAGAGGACAGATGTCCACCCTGTGGTACACCAGAGGTAACAGAATTTTTTTTAGATTTGTGTTGATTATTCAAGATGACTGTCTGAGTTCTATTAAGAAGGTAACTTTTAACTTAAGAAGGATAAATCATAGAAGCAAAATATCGAGGGATTCAAACAATTTTTCTTGCCTCTTGAAAAAATTGCCTTTGTGGACTTTGCACTAGAAGTTGTCGATATAAAACGAAAATGAAACTACTGTAATTCTGTCAAATGTAATAAATAAAAGTATTCTGCAAAAATGTTCCTTACTTGATCTGGTCGTAGTCCTGGTGGTACCCAAGTATATTCCTCTAAAGCACAGCCGCTATCGTCGTCACTTTGGGAGTGTCTTTGAGGATCCACGCCCCCAGGGGGTCCAAAGGGTGACCCTTTCCCCAGAAATCGATCTCCTCCGGAATGTTCAGGCAGCAACTTGTTTCCCAAGGGCGACGGCAAGGGCGGAAGCCCACCTTGGGTGGGCGGTGCCGACATCTGTAGGGAGTCTGGGGATTGGTGACTTCTGCAAATTGGTCTGGAAGAGAAAACACATCAAGTCTTTTGCTTTGATGAAAGTTTCTTCTACAATAATTTAAACTATTCACTATTTAAATGCAGGCAATTCTATATGTAGTTGGTATCTCTGGAAAACTAAGAAATTTCTATAAACAGGAAAAAGCTTAGCTCAATCTTGTTTCCCATTTTTGAATTAAGTAAACTGTTTAAAAATTTATCTCATAATACAAGTTGTAAAGAATCAGAATGCTGCAGTTGAGATCGAAACAAATTTCTTGATTTCGAAAGAAAATTCTAGATGAAGAAATCAGATATTTGTCCAAGTCGGATAGGAACCGTCCGCATTAATTTTTCATCAAAGATTCGTGCTGAGTGAACATAAATACGAATGTTTCCTGTGTATTTATCAACGAAAACATAGCAAACAGTTACAAAAACGCATCTTTGACTTGGTAATTTATTAATGACTTAATCAGTGTATTAATATAAGCAATTACTGCCGATAAGTGCACGCATTACATCTGATATCCAGTTTTTGATTTATTCACAACGTCCGCTTCTTGCGAGCATGAGGAACTGTTGATGTACAGCTTTATGGCCATCGTTCGATCGTTTGCCACTTTGTGCAACGTCCAACTTCTATATTAAGAGAGTTTATTTAAATACAGGAAAGGAACGTAATTTTCTATTCCATTTCTGGTAATTAGCTTTGATTGGATACTAAGGATGAACGCTTGTGGAGATGGAAATTGACTTCGAAACGTAGATGATGATATCTTATTGGACTTTTTAAACGTTTTGCAGGGCGATTTGAAATTGGCACTTTTTGGGCGAATTAATGGGATTCATTTGAAAAGTGATACCAGAGAAATAAGGGATCAATTAGGTTCATTTAATTCATTCATATTTATTTCATTAAATATTTTTCTCAAATTTCGGCATTTTCTTTCTGTTAATTAATTCTGGTTGAATATTTTGGTTAAAGAAGATTTGATAGAATAGTGCGGATTATTCTTGGCCTTTCTATTGTTAGTTTGTGCTAGTGTGACGCCGTCTGCTCCAAAGGAAATACGCAAATAGTAAGTAATAAAGTAATTTGGAAGTGAAGAAAATAGCCAAAATTTAGGTGAAATTTCAGGAATACGTTGAAACAAATGAATTTAAATCTGAGTACTAATTTGCAATTTAGTAAGCTAATCATGTGATTTAATCCAGCATATACGGTTTTATAAATAGTGCTAGTTATATGTGTTCCCATGAGCGTATGTTTAATACTTTTCTTAAACATTTTCATAAGTTGATAAAATAACTGTCTGTTTGTCTTATGAGCTGATTTTCTTTTAAACATTTTGGAAAAAGAAGAATTTTTGATCCAAATGCAGAAATATGCAACTTTGGTTGAGTGCAATCCATTTAACATTAAAATATACGTATAGGAAATACGACGTAAGAACCAAAGTCTATATCTATCTTATAATCTGAATCATAATATGGTAATAATACAGCTGAATTTATTATGGAAAAAACCGTTAAAATGAATTTTGTGACAATTATTGGAATATTGAAGAAAACGTTGCTGATAAATGAAAATATCTTCAATTAAAAAAACAGCAATTTTGAAATTCCACATCCTTTTCCGAAACGTGTGCCCAATATACTTTCAGTGTTCGATTGAAGTGCATTACACACTTTTAATAAGTTTTAAGTTCTCGATTATTTCAAGTAAAATTGAACAAATGGAGATTGAAGATCCAGGCCAACAAAATGGGTCACGTCGAAGGCCTGTACGGCGGTCACGGTCATTGTTGTACATTGGGATGTTTGGTTTTATTTTAGTCTATTTTGCTATTGACTTTGGGATCAATATGTACAAAAATTTACCAATCAGTACGTATAATTTACACTATCTGCTAAATAATTATTACTTATATTTTGCTATAATGATTCCAAATTAATTCTAAAACTCTATACTCGCAAGGGCGGGAGAGGTCCAGGGGGAGGGGTCATGGGGGTCCTGACCCCCCACTCAATTCTCTATCCAACGATGCCAAAACGAATTCTCTGGCTCGAATGGTTCTTGAGAAACTTCGAAAAAAGCAGCGTCATGTTCAAGTGTATTTTGCAACTCAAAAGAAACCACGCAAATCTAAAACTTCTTGAATTCAAGCATTTTTTGAGAAAACTGCCAACATTTCCTTATCGATGGTTCATTTGCTAAGAAGGCCATTTATTTCTCTCTAGAACGACGGACAAATGAGCGTTCTTGCTCATTTAAATTTTTGACATAATCTTACACCTAAGTGTCTGATATTCAAATTTCGCTTTCTGTGTCAAAACTACTAGAATTTCCTCACTCATGTTGTTACGCGTGAATCGGATGTTCAATTTTCTATCCAACGATGGCAAAACGAATTCTGTGGCTCGAATGGTTTTTGAGAAAMTTCGAAAAAAGCAGCGTTATGTTCAAGTGGATTTTGCAACTCAAAAAAAACCACGCAAATCTAAAACGTCTKGAATTCAAGCATTTTTTGAAAAAACTGCAACATTTTCTTATCGATGGTTCACTTTCTAAAAAGGTCATTTAGTTCTCTTTGGAATGATGTAAAAACGAGCGTTCTTGCTCATTTTGCTTCCGAGAAACATACAAAACGGGACGGAAAACATGAAATTTTGAAATAATCTTACGCCACCCTTGCACAAAACGACGATAATTTTTCTAATTTCATAGACAACAGAAGACTGTATTTTTTCTACATAACCCCCACCCTGGATTTAAAGCTGGACCCGCCCCAGTATACTCGGAAACGAGTGGTTTTATTGAGAAATACATTTCAACTCAATTCTTCATCTTCAATTCAAGACAGCTCAACAAGTCCGCTACTATGTTTAACCATTTTCCTCCCATTAATTAAAACATAGCCCAGATTTAGGATTTTTTGTTATTAAATGAAAAGTGAGACAGTTTAAAATTATTTCTTTCATTGGCAGGATCACCTTGCAGCACGAAAGAATGCTCTCGTGCGGCTGCTCATATACAGAGCTTTGTGAGTTCATCTGAACATCCTTGTATTGATTTCTCTAAATTTGCTTGCGGAAATTTTTATAAGAATTACAAAAACAACAACCTCAACGTACTTGCGGCAAATCAAAAGGAGTGGAATAGTTGGGCAAGTTCGTTGATAGTAGACAAAGAGATAGATGAAAACCAATGGAAAATGACCGAACACTTAAAGTTGGCACGAAAGGCAAGCATAAACAGTGACAGTCTTACACAGATGTTACCTACATTTAATATTTTGCCCATTTAATTTTCAACCTTTATTTTTCAAATCTAAGCTATGATCCCCTTTTTCCATCCCAATACTCAGGTTGTGTTTGAAGCTACATAATGAAATACACCTAAAGCAGCATTTTTTTTAGTTCTATGGCGTTTGTCTGAATGCATCAGCAACTAGCGAAAATTCCGAATTTCTGTTCCTGATCGGTGTTGATTATATTACAGGAGGATGGCCGAATAACCAAACAGGGATAAAATTTGCGAGCTGGTGGAATATCATGATAAAATCGAGGGAGCTGGGAATGAACTATGACTTTTTTCTGAATGTGAATATTACCACAGATGGTTACTTACAGGTACTGAATTTGCTGCCAACTGTTGCATGTGTATGAAAATATTCAACAAATTAAAATTTTTACAATTTCCAGATCAGTCCGCCAGACCTTGGGCAGGTTAAATTGCTTGATAAGATTTGGACGCCCAAAAATAAAATATATATGCAAGCAATTGCCGATTATTTTGGAAACAATGAATCTAGCTTGTACTGGGAATTTGAAAAAACCATGAATTTTGCAAATAAATTTAAGGAAGTAAGTAATCATTAAGATAACATTAGATTGGCCACATCTATTTGAAACATTTAAAAATACACGGAAAATTCAAAAGTTGTCTTAAGCCTAACGTGCAGACTGTAACAATATGTATTTAAAGAAAGTTATCTCTTTATATATAACATGAAGTCAAAAGCGTGACCAAACTGAAAAAATTCAGGCATTTAGAGAGGAAAAAAACGAAGGAAAATGTAATTTTTTGAAAATGCCAACTATTATCGTCGAATGTGTTGGAAAAACAAGTACCAAATTTACCAAATAAAACTTGCAATTTTTGCACTAATAACGAACATTTCGATACTTCTCTGTTACTTTTCAGTTAGTTGAAAGCAGCCATTTGGACTTCCAAAACAGCAATTTTTCAATAACACTTACAACCATATCAAACTTAAATAAATCTAGAAACTACGATCCAAATTGGCTGCCGTTCCTTACAAATCTAACAGGTGTTCCTAATCTGAGCGAAGATGAATTGGTTTACGTTAAAATGAAGCCCTTCTCTAACCAAAACTACTTGTTGAAGTTAAGCAAATTGATCGAGACTACTCCGATGAGGTGGAGACAATTTGCAACGTTAATCGCCCATTACAAACAAATAATTTTTAGATATTGGCTGAATTACATTATTGTGTTTCATCTTTTCCATGAACATAAGTATTTGTCCGAAGACGTTCAAAATTGGGTTAATCAGATGCGCGACTTGAAAGAAGATTCAAGCAGACGGGAATTTTGCCTTCAGGAAACCGAAAGATAGTAAGATAAATTTTTTTTGTTTTACTTGCACACCTATTTATCATTGTTTCATTTCAAATCAAGCTATCAGAAGGCTGTTGAAAGAGTTATTGTGAATCATCTGGTATCGGACGAGAAAATTAACCACATTCATACAATGTACTACTACATAATGAATGCTTTCAAAACATATTTCAACCAGACTGCTGATAATCTTTGGGACGACTCCATAGCTCTAATCAAGAAGGTGCCGGTTCGTGCTGGAGCGACTAAACATTTCTTCAATGACGAATTGTTCGATTATGCTTTTGGAATTCCGGTACGACCTAATCTACCTCAATAATAAATTCGTATGCAAATTTGATTCCAACTAATATTTTGTTTACAATCGAAAAATGATGGCATCTGAAGCTTTTTACCTTCGTAAAATGCTATTTTTAAATAAGTTTCCCTTCTGTTTTAGACGCCCCATTTTGGCAATGATGCGCTACAAATTCGTCATATCCTCGAGATAAATAAGATGGACCATTTGTTCAATTTCACCCAAAAACCGAAAGAATATTTGAACGCAATCCGCGTAATGGATGCTAGGGCATTTACATACATATCGAATGGGTCCTTATGTAAGTACCTAGGTGTAACCTACGTAAACGTGATTTGATTAAAAGGTCTCCTACTATTTTTTACTGGTAGTACAAACTCAGTTTTTCAGAATATAATATTTGAGTTAAAAATTAGCGCCTAAAAGAGTATGGAAACATGCGAATAAAGTTTGCCTAATTAATGTTTTAGATTTGTTGGCCCCAAGTTGGCAAGAACCCACATTCAGTGTTAATCGCCCGGAATATATCAACTATGGATCTTTGGGCACTCTAATAGCACGCCAATTAATAAACATATATAATGAACAAAATGAACAAACCATCAACGGTTCATTATCAAAATGGCAAATTGCAAAACATCATAGAAATAGCCAAGATTGTGCGAATCAGTCGTATATAAATTACTATCAACAGCTATTCCAAACGTCGGTAAGTAGTACTTTTAGATAGATAGATTACTAGAAAAGATCCTCAAAGATGTATCTTTTTTCCCAAAAACTATGAATGCTTCAACATTTTACTGAGAACACGAAAATGTCACAAAAGGATTAGTATATAAACTCAGAAACAAATCAGTTGTGGGCAGCCACCGAATAAAAAGTTCTGGTAGTTTTTCTACCAAGACACTCAAAAGTTCATCACTTGCCCGAAGCATAAGAACTCGGTTTCTTCATCAAACTATGAGTCTTACATAAGATAAAATTTACAGCGAAATTTATTAAAATCTGTAATAAAATGTTTTTGCCTTTGTACCTTGTCGATCAATAGAAGAGACACACATTTTTTCGGTTCATGTTGCGGTCCCTTTTCATAATGTGCTCTCGGAACTTCGTGTACATTGGAAATAAATTTAGCTTTTTAATTTATTAAGAGGATTAAAGCCATAAGGAGTAAATAATGTATACATTTTGCGTAATGAATTGAACCTGAAAAATAGATTTGAAAGTACTGTTATGCATAATTTATATAAACCTGCTACCTACGGGAACTGATATTATTTGTTTTCATCAAACATTTTTCAGGATTTGCCTGAATTTGATGTGGAGGACGTATTCTCAGATTTTGTTGCTGCAAATATTGCGTACGTAGCATACATGGATTATATTAAAACCAAGCCTGCCGAGGTAAAAATCGAAGGTAATTATAATTAACATGATTACTAATTATTATCGAACATAAGTTCTTATTCTTCAAATTAAAAAAATCTTATTAAGTATTTGAATAATGATTCATCAATTATTAACACAATATTAACACCAATTTTCAAGCTCCAAAAAAATTGTAGGCAAACGTAAGGTCTTTACTTTTCCTTTTTTTATTTTGCCATCTTTGTCTTGCTAGAATCAATGCTAAAATGAACAAAACCTGTTCAGTTTCGAAATTGATTTTCAATAGTTAAATTAATAATAATTTTTTTACAAAACGCATTCTAATTGTAACTTTTTGCTCTAACCGACCAGCGACCGTGTCTGTCTTCTGAAGCGACTAAAATACTTTTTGGTTTCTTCTTATCATTCAATCATAATATTTGATTGAAATTAATTGATCATTTTCTTTTAGGCATTTCCTATGATCCTTATCAAGTATTTTGGATTATGTCGAGTACTTATTTCTGCGACAATCGGGAAATGGAAGAAAGTGAACTTGAATGGACTCTGTCTAGATATGCAGCAACAACGAGAATTAATCTACTGCCGAGTTACCGCATTAATGGGCCCAAAATGAATTCGCCATATTTTGCGAAAGACTTCAATTGTTCACTGATAACTAACATGAATTCTTTGAAGAAGTGTACAACCGTTCTTTAAGCAGATGACAAATGATATAGTTTTAGCAACTTGTTTGGCGTTTTTTTAAATTTTATTTAGCTTGACTTGTTTTGACTTTGAATGTTTTAATAGTTTTATAATATATGTGTTGTTTGTGGTTTTGTGTAACAAAAGATGCGCATGTTTCTAGTTTAGTCAAACTTGTAATTCTACTATTTTTTAATATATATATTTTTGAATCTGATGCCAATTCTTTCGTTTCTTACAATCTTCGACCGAAAAATATTAGTGCTAATTAAGGGTGAGTTTACTTTGGGACGCACGTGCCTGAAGACAGGAGGCTCAAACGGTCTGTGTATTGCTTTAGCCTTAAATTCGCATATTTATAGTTTTCAGTACTGGTTTGATATTGTCTGTTTGTTTGTTTTAATAGACATTTTCGGAACATTTTAAGCGTTTTTTAAGCGTTCACGATCTTTAACCGACGATTTATTCCTTACTAATGGCCCAAACACTTTATAAATTCATATTTGTGACGTTCTTACGTCGAAAGGAATCGATTGAGCTCAAAAAACACGCATGAAAAATTTCGATTTTTGGCCGAAATTTTTTTCAAGGGTGAGGGTCGATTTTTTGAAAAAATATATATTTTTTCAAAATGTCTTAAATTTTACATCATTTTCAGCTCACGGACGCGAAAAATGCATCAAACTCATTGAAACACATGCGAGAAGTTTCAAATCCGAAATAGTAGACATTTTGGCACATTTTAAGCGTTTTTTGAGCGCTCGTGGTCTTTATCGGACGATTTCTTCCTTATTATTCACACAAACACTTTGTAAATGCATATTTGTGACCTTCTAACGTGGAAAGGAATCGATTGAGCTCCAAAAACACGCATGTGAATCTTTGATTTTTGGAAAAATTAAAAATTTCTCAAAATGTCTTAAATGTTACATCATTTTCAGCTCACGGACGCGAGGAATGCATCACACTCATTGAAAAACATGCTAGAATTTTCAGTTCTATTCTTAAATTCACAAATTTTCTTATAGACAGTGAATGTGTCGAGAATACACTTTGCGAACCAATTGATGCTTTATTTTGAAAATGAGTTAATCGCGGTAAAATTCGAAGTATTTTGTTCGGAAAATCATCTTTTTGACCTTGGCCGATTGCAATTTTCCGACATGCAGTTTTTATATAAAATCGTTCGTTTTTCCACAAATTTCTAAAGTTTCAAATTGGCTCGATATTAACAGTTACGCAGAAAATTTTCACATGCAAAAAGCTGTTTTTGTAAAAGTATTTTGAGCACTTTCGTTCGTGCGGCTTTATAACACTCTGCTAAAAGTTAGTTTTCGGGTGTTCCGAGAGAAAATTATCGATTATTTTCACGCGAGAACGAGATTTGCCTTAACAATTTTATATACATTTATTGACGAAATGTTGAAGTGAAGTATTGTGATAACGGAGTTCTTGTCGCTGAAAAATAAACATTCCTGCAATTAGAAAAAACCGACAGTTTAAAATTTCGCATTCTTTTCTAGAACTTGCTGCCAATTTACCTCAGATTTCAGTGCAATACAATTCCATTCGCAAGAGACTTTGATTATTTGAAACAAAATGGAGCAAATGCAAATTGAGGAACCGGGGCCAGAGGAGGCAACGGGTCAAGACGTGGCACTGCTAGCAAGATACAAGAGGATATGCAGTATTGGATATAAATGGCAAATGGTGATTATTATCTCATTTGTTGTTCTCCTTGCCGCTGGCATGTATATGATAGTCAAGAAGAGCAACACACGAAGCACACAAAGCCGAAGTACGTATAGCCCTTAAATCTAATTACATAATTAGTAAATAATATTCAAATTTCATAACTATTTTAAAAAATGAAAGTAGAAGCACGAGAAGAAGAATAACAATTGCTCGAATTACTCAATTGCTCTACAAACCAATTGTTTAAGCCTGCTGTATCCAGTTGAGAACGCAATCAATTTTTTTTCAGTCCACTTTTGCTAATTAATTAAAATCCAATTGCTCTCGAGAATGATTTTACAAGAAACCTGAATCAAATAAGAGTTTGATTTGCAGATTTATTTTGCAACACGACTGAATGTTCTCAAACCGCTGCTCATATTCGAAGTTCTGTGAGTTCATCTGCAAATCCTTGTGATAATTTTTACAAATTTGCCTGCGGCAATTTTGATAAGCAATACAATGCGAACAATGTCACCATAGTTTCTATGTATCGAAAGGATTGGGAAAGTTCGTTATTGTCTTTGGTAGTGGACGAACCGATAAACGAAACTAAATGGAAAGTGACAAAACATTTAAAGTTGGCACGAAAGGCAAGCACCTATACTATTTACTTATTGTATATTTTTTTAATTGCTTATGGAAACAGATATTTATAGGTCATTTTAAAAATTCTAGTGTCTCTACTTAAGTTTAATTAATTTTATTCGAAAAAGATGATTTTGATAAAACGTTCTGCTTGATCCAAAACCTAAAATGTAACAATCAGATTTTTTGCTGTCGTGTACAAGACATATAACATGTGAATTTTGCTCAAGAATAAAACACCTTTATTGTCGACATTGACGAAAATTGTTATTAAAAAGTTGATTAAAGTTGAAAAGTACGTTCAGTACGTACTTCGAAAAGTCTGGTTATTTTTAACATTATTTTTAAGTGGGCGTCATAGGAGAAACTTTTTTATTGTTATTTTTGCGAAAAAAGTTCTGTATGTTCCAAAATATCAGATCCACAAGTAGAATTTTTAATGAAGATTTGTTTCGTAAAATTATTAATTAAAAAGTTGTTCATATGGGGCAACCTAAGTAGACACAGTGTATAATAGTGTTAGTTAAGCACTCCACCAAATTCATGTCTCTAACTCGGAATATCTCAGCCAAATTTCGACTTAAAGGTACAACATTATCCAATTAAAATTTATTTTTGTTAATAGTTTTACAAAGCATGCATGAATGTCATAGCCCCACACAACAAGCCAGATATGGCGTTCCTGGAAGCTCTTGATTACATTACAGGAGGATGGCCGAAAAAACACACAAATATGAAATCCGTAACTTGGTGGGACGTCATGTTAAAATCGAGGCAAATTGGAATGAATTTTGACTTCTTTTTGAATGTGAATATTACGGAGTTTCCAAATCCTCACTTCCAGGTAATAAGATTTTGAACAGGAGAGCCAAATCAAAGTGGTTCTGATATTCTAAAAATATTGTGTACTTGCTGCTGCTTGCTTACAAACAATTATTTATTGATTACCTAGTTTCTCTTTCATCTGATTTCCATCTCGAAATTGGTTATATTAATTTTGAAAAACATGTTTTTCTCATACAGTTTTTACGAGCTGTGTAAACACTCTTCGCATTAAACCTCGTGAAATTTAATGACAAAAATATTCGCTGTTGGTGTTACGCACTTTTCCAACTTATTTGGCCCACATTGGCCCACATTAACGGAAGAACTGATGAAGAATCTGAGATTAATTTTTTTATGCCTTGTAGTATAGCCCTTTTTCAGAACCGCTCATATGTATTTTCATTTTTTATTAATTATTGTTGACTTTTTTTGAATTTCCAGATTAGCCCACCCGATGTTGATCTGATGATACTGTTCCATAAGCTATGGATGCCCAGACATAAAGGATATATTCGGAAAATTGTTGAATATTGGGGATATACCGACGCGAGCTTGTTCTGGGAATTTGAGGAAACCAGGAAATTTGCAAATACACTTATGGAGGTAAGTACGAGACAATAGAACTAAATAATGAAACAAATTTATCTTTTCCAATCTGTTACGCGTAATTTGTAATGAAGGAACGAGCAAATGTAAACACTACAAACAACCTGGTAAATGAAGAGGAACTCATTCTTGCCCAGAATTTAAACATGCTTTTATCGATGAATGGAAAATTAATTAAAGCCCGAAAAGTGATTTCTATGTTATATTCGGAATTAAACAAAAAAAAATTATATCCGCATTGAATAAATTGCAGTTGAGTGCAAATTCAAGATAATTTGCCAAGGACTTAGATACACGCAAATATCAAAATCTTTGAAAGTTTAAAGTTCTTCAATAGTTAATTGATGAAAGATTCCAAAGCACCCAATGCCAGGAATATTTTCGCCGAATATTTGATGTATTTTCTGTTAAATAATCTCAGGCATTTGGATGATTTTTATTGATTTTCAGGCGGTTCTGGGCAGCTATTTGGATGTGCATGAGATAGACGTGAATAGTATACGTCTACCAAAAATATCGGATTTGGTCAAAACTAGAGATTCCGACCCAGACTGGTTGCCTTTTCTTCAAAATATAACAGGTGTTGCAGATTTAAAGGAAACTGAATTAGTTTCCTTTAAAATAAGATCCGACTCTCACGAAAACTACTTATCTAGATTGGCCACATTAATCGAAACTACTCCTACCAGGTTGAACCAATTGGGAACTGCATTAACTTATTACTAACATGTAATTTTTAGACTTTGGATGAATTATGTTATTGCATACCATATCGTCCGAGAATATAAATATTTATCTCGAACTGTTCAAATTGTGATTAATAAGATAATGGACGTGGAGGAAGATTCGAGCAGACATGACTTTTGCATCTTTGAAACTGGAAAATAGTAAGGATTATTTCACTTATATATTCACAGATATTTATAATTATTTTTCCCAAATCGAAGCTTTCATGCGGATATCGAAAAAGTGCTTGTTAATCAAATCGTAACGCCTGACAAAATTAAGAACATCCGAAACATGTACAACTACATAACAAAAGCTCTCGAAGGACATTTGAAGCAAGCATATGCTTCCAATGATATTGTTCGAGAAGGATCAATTCGTCAATTGAAAAATATGTCATTACATGTCGGAGGGAACGATTATTTCTTCAACGACAAGCTGTTCGATGAAACATTTGGGATTAAGGTATCCAGACATTTAGCTGATTGCATTTTGATGAAAAATTTGGTTTTATTACTAATTTTAAATGTCCACAGCCGGACGACCTTAGTGATAATGCAATAGACTCACTTCATGTTCTCGAGAAATTCAGAGTCGATGACATACTTAGTTTAATACGAAGACCGAGTGCATTTTATAACAGATCCTTAGATATCGAAGATATCGCTTTGACGTACACACGGGATAACTCTCTATGTAAGTTTCCAGCTCTGACTCCCGAAATACACGCGCTTTGAAGCTTGTTTCAGAACAAAGACAACTTTTACCATTACTTTGGTTTGAAAAATAGCAAAATAGTGAATGTTTTAGATTTGCTTGCCCCAGTTTTGAGAGACCCCACATACAGCCTTAACCGCCCAGAATATATCAACTATGGATCTTTGGGAACAATGATCGCACACGAACTAATGCGTATGTATGATGATAGAATTTTCGATCGAATCAGCTCCGATACATTACCAGTCTGGCAGGCTGAAATGAAGAAAGACATGGAAAATAGCTTAGTTTGTGTAAACCAGTCCTACATCGATTACTATCAGAAACAATTCAACACATCCGTAAGTAGCCATTTTTTGAGATAAGTAGATATATTTATTATATGATATATACCCATGTATCAAACTTTACACTTTATTAATCGATACTTATGAGTACTGCTGGCAGTAGGACTTCAGTTGCAGCCACGTTCACTTTTCTTGACACCATCAAGTCGTCATTAGCCCATGCTAAGCAGAATTAAATTGTTTATGTGCAAGATTAAAGTTTAGCAGAATAGCATTGAAAATTGAAATTTTAGGCAACTTGAAAATAGATCTTCGAACAGCAAACTTTAATTTTGTCAGTACTTATATTTTTATTTAAGAATATACCATCGGTTGATTTGGAGGGGCCAATATTGGATTATGGTTCTGCAAATATTGCATACCTGGCATACTTGGATTATGTGAATGCGAGTGGTACCGAACATAATATCGTAGGTAAGCCACAATTATTGATAATTGAGACATAAAATGACACCGACTACCAATTACCAACAATTTGACAAATTTTATGTTTTGAATTTGGATGCAAAAATAGGGATTCTAGAAAAAGCAGAGTGATTAATACATTTCACTAATCAGAAAGAATCATCAGCAAAATATTCGACGAAAAAATTTAAAGTTTCCACATAAATTAGTGCCAGTACAGTGGTATTAAATTTGCAATGAACGAATAGCGGATCAGTAAATCCATCTAAATTTATCAATATCTGATAAGATAATCTTTCTAATGTTTTACGTGGCCCTTTAGGAGTTCCGTATGATCCCTATCAAGTCTTCTGGATTATGGCGAGTACTTTCTTCTGTAACATTCAGAAACTGGAGGAATCTGAAGATGCATGGAACGGAGACTTTCGAATGTTCCAGCTTCCCAGTTATCGTGTCAATGGACCGAAAATGAATTCTATATATTTTCCGCAACACTTTAATTGTAGTCTTGGAACAAACATGAATCCCAAGAAAAAGTGTATTACTTTTCCTTAGTAGGTGAAGTTGGTTAAATAAAATAAATTCACATGCTATAAGTGTATTTAGAACAAAAAACCGAAATATTACAATTTAATTCATTTGTACACTAAGACAATAACAAATGTATCAATTTTGTTTGATCTAACTATTTCGGATTTTTTTGGTTTCACTAACTCGACAAACTAAGTTAAGAAAATTAGATTTTGCACGTTTTAGTAATTTTTATATGTATATATGTGTTGTACTTCTTTTAAGAGTTTATCCTCTAATTGAATGATTACATCGTTCTATAATTGACACTTACCAGACGTCTGTTAATTTGTGAAATACTCGGTAATTAATTTTAATTCAGACCCAAATGTTTATATGTAACTTTTTAAACACGTAAAACTATTTCGTATTTTTAAAATTACTTGGCATATGTATTGTTGTTTCTTTCGTTAACGTTGAGTGGGGTTTATTGATAGGCTTTGAACACAATGATACCTCGGATTGCTCGAATCAGAATAAAATTTAGACAATAATCAAGCAGACAATAAACGACTAAAAAGTCGCTACTGTCAAAGTTCCCAATTTCCTCGCTACGGCCAGAGGGTAAAATTGTAGAATTTTAAAACTTGACTTTTTTGTTGTAATTCCCTAAAATAAACCCCACTTAAAATAATTATTTGGCGGGACTTAATAGTTTTCCTAAGTAATAGTGTGCGTCTCTAAGTCAACCAAGTTCCTTAAAATGTTCACTTTTGCAAAATTTTAAAGACACTTAGTAATAGTAATTAATTTTCGTAAAATATATTTCATATTTCTGCATGTTAAAAATTGTGTTTCAATCACTGAGTCTCACCTACTTCAAACCCTCAACATTCAGTGTTGAATTCAGTATGGGAAATGGAACGGGAAACGAATGAAACACTCACAGGACAATGACGGAAGAAGGTGGAATAAATACTTCAGAACTTCACACTTATACGAAGGTATGAGAAAGTCAGTGGAAATACAAAAAAGAAACATCGAAAACCAGTTCGTAGAAGAATACAGGTAAATAATTAATGAGCGAATAGAAACAGCAAAACCTCAAAGCACGGAAAAATGCCTAATAAGCTATTGAAAAAATGGAGAAACTCTTCTTACAGTATATACAAGACATTGTGAAAGGATGAAAAACATGGCAAGATCAACGAGCGTAACACTACTCATCTTTAGAACCAACAACGATTTTAAATTTACGACGCAAATACTAAACAAAACCACATTATTCATTCAGAAGATGATACAAAGGTCCAAAGAATGTGACAATATTTTATAAACTAATATGTAAGTAAATAATTGGCCAAATCATGTCATTTATCAACATCAATCGGTTACTTTGGACGGAATATTACAAGCAGAGTCTCTCGAAAATAGCGAAGAAACAGATCAGCAAATATTCTTTAATACTAGGGCAGATAATACATTCATGCACATAAATGGAGAATGCACAAAATATTCGTCCGATTATAATTAAATTAAGTGCGGTATCACGATATGAAATAATTTGATTGGTTGACAAAAACAGTATTGATTGATTTTAGGCATATTTTTCTTTATGATGCTGTATTTTGTCATTGGTCCAATGCGGAAATATTTTAAAGGTGAACAGATGGGCCTTAAGAAGTTCACACAAGGAATTTCAACATATTCGTGAAAAAAAAGTTAATAAGGCGGAAATTTAAGGTTTTTGGCATATAAAAGTATGCATTTCCGCCCACACAATTCACTTACATATTCTTGGACAAATTTGCCTTATTCGACAGTTACAAAATATTGGAAAATGGGCTATCTGACAAAAAAGGAATATTTCGAATCCCAAAAAATTGAAGCGCCCTCAAGGACCACAAGCTAAGCAATAGAAATTTTTGATTCTTCGATCGAAAAACATTCCCAACACAATACTTCTTGGTAGTAGAAAAACTGGTTAAGCATCTATTCAAAAAACGAAAAATGTATTCCGACTTTCACACCCTGTGAAGAAACTATTAACTTTCGGAAGACAAACTTGCCTAAAACGCAATATTTTGGTCTAAACACTGTGTCCCTGAATTTCTTCATATTAGTGGAAGACCACCCTGTATATGGAAGGCAATACTCGCATAGTATTATCTGAAAGCAAAATACGAATTGTTTATTAAGTATTATTCAGCTAAACCGACAATGCTCCCAGCATTGCAACATTTTCAAATTTTTAACGAATTTATGAACTACTAGTGACCTTCTAGAAATTGTTGGAATCTTAGTCGTTCATCAAAATTGACGTCTTCTTGCGGAAAAAGCACACATACCTTACCCTGAAAAAAGCACAATTTTTAAGGTCCACATTCATTGACGGTACTTGCTCTCAATATATTTTAATTCTCCGAGATCAGTGCATTTCAATTTTATTACTGCTTAGTTATTCAATTCTTGAAAGCAAAATGGAACAAATGGAATTTGAAGAGGTTGACTCACGACCGAGAAGAAGGGTACCAGTTTTCTACCAAAAACGATATTTATGTGCCATGTTGCTCTTCTCCATTGTTCTTGCCTATACGACAGTTCATTTAATAGCGACAAAGAGTCGATCCGGCAAAGCATCAGAAGGTAGGAACAATTGGCCAATATTCGCCAATAAAATATTATATTTTTTTCAAATTACTGCAACTTAATGCAAATTTTTTTAAATCATAATTAAGTAATTCAACTTGATTTGCAGGGGTGTGCAACACGACAGAATGTGCTCGTGTGGCTGCTCATATACAGAATTTTGTGAATAGATCCGCAGATCCTTGCGAAGATTTTTACAAATTTGCTTGCGGAAACCTTCATAAAAATTTCACACGAAACGATAGTAACCTAATTACGGCTCAACAAAGTGATATTCATACGTGGCTATATAAGATAATGGTGGACAAGAAAATAGACGAAACCACCAAGTTGCCAGATAACTTTAAAACGCTACAAAAGGCAAAAATTTGATTGCGCTACATAAGTTAAGTAGGTAACCGTTTATTTTTAGTTTTTCAGCACATGTATGAAAATAAGAAACGCTGAAGGTACTAACATGGCCTTTCTGAACGCGGTCGAGTACATTACAGGAGGATGGCCCAAAGATTTTGAAAATGTTAAACATCAAAGTTGGTGGGATCTCATGCTAAAATCCAGAGAAATGGGCATGCAGTTTGACTTTTTTCTGGATGTGAATATTGCGGAATTTCCACATGCTTACTTACAGGTGATTAAAATGCTTACAGTCGTATTCTTTAATATCAGTCTTCGAAAAACTATTTTAGTTTTTGTCAAACTGAAGGGTGTCGATAAATTTTGAAAAGTAGAGCTTAAACACTGCTCGCTCCTCATCAGTGTGTAATTAACACCAGTCTATAATGTTTAATTTTTACTTTTCAAAACGTAAAATGTTGTTGACTGAAATGCGTATTGGAGAAACGTGGTCAATAGTTGACACGATTTCAATATACTTAGCAAACACTCCGTTTCAGTTGATTTGATCAAATAAAATTGTATTTGTCTTTACCGTGTTTAGTATCTCAAATGTTAAAAATAATAGTTGAAAGAAGTGACCCAACGTAAAAGAAAGCAAAAATATAAACATGGAATTCCGAAAATATATTTTATTACTTGTCTTTGGTTGTTCACCGATTGTTTTCAAATTCGGCATATTCACATCAAATATCGCTCGCTATGTGATGATACACATGATACACTTACAAAAAATGTCTATCTTTACCTCTCGAAAATAACCCATTTTTTAGACAAAATTTTTGCCAAATGAAAAATATCTTGAGTGTATTCCACGCAATTGAGACATTTGCACAAAGAGTACCACACATTCTGTAAAAAAATTTTAGATGAATACATTTTCGAATTGTCAAGAATTTGTATTTAATGTTCGTTTAGTCAAATTAGTGCTATCTTTACGTAAAAATCATGTAAAAATTTGATATGATTTAAAATAATTAGTAAGTACGATCAATAATAGTATTTATTTGCAGGGTTACTACTATTTTGTTTCAAAAAATATAATAAATGCTAACGTTGAAATAAGGTAAAAATTAACAAATAACAACAGAAAATTGACTTTTCTAGAAATATTGATTAAAAAAAGTTTCAGAAATGTGCGAAGACTTTTCCAAGATCAAATTTTTTAAATTCCGTGTCCAGAAAAGTCACCTTTGCATAGGTCAAGAGGATTTTTCGCACCATTGAACGTCTTATAACGACCACTTCGACTAAATAGTTGATTATCTGAGGATGCTATAATTGCTCCCAAGGGAACTTTCCATGTAACTTTCGAATCAATTCGTTCGACTGATGCCATTTTTCATTTAGTTCCCATTCCGTTCTATAATTTTTTTTAGAAATATTTCTTTCTAAAATCGTTAATCCTCAACAATATAATATGATGAAGCTCCATCTCCATGAAGCCAAATTAACACTTCGGTCTAAATGTTAGAAAAAAGGTTGGCAACTGATCCAATTAGGACTCATTAAGTGATCTATTATGCCTGCTACACTTTTACAAGAAACTTATTTTGAACTTTAGGTTCAATGACTAAGTGAAAAGTTTCATGAGCCTTTCACTGTGTACATTACTAATGTACATTGTGCAAGTAATCAGGTCCAAATCCACATATAAATCCATCCATTTCAATGATCTTATTGCATATATTGAGTCGAGCGACAGCATCGACAAAAGTTAAAACCTGGATTTTTGGAAATAATACGCATACAAAAATTTTCTTCGAACCCCGCATTTTCTAAAATAATATATTAATCACTCATTAACTTGCAACTCTGACAATCTTTGTGAAAAAGTTTTTGCCTGAGATATCCAAATGTTCGCAATCCTCAATGGATAACGTCCAGTATTCTTTTTGTATCACTTCTTCACACTTTGTTTTGCTGAACTGGATTTTTAAACTACTCAAAATTACAATAGAGGCACAATGAGTAGTTTTATTTTAACCTATTTTTTTGTATCAGTGCAGGATTTTGAAAAGGTAACTCACAGACAAAATAAACCCAACCCAACTGAAGAGGCCCAAAACCTACCCTGTGGTAGTTTTATCATTTTTTTTACGCACGATGACCAATCAGCCACTAATATTCAATTGCTTTTTGAGCCTGAATTAAATTTATTTATCTGTATGTTACTATGCATTCAGTTTTGGACTTTTTCAAAATTTGTACTACTTAATATTTTTCTCCCGTTTTTGTGAATCCCTAAACTAAAGACGGAGGGGCGTGTAAATAACTTGCAAAAGGTGAAGAGAAAAAGATGTATCAATATTCTATTAAATTAATACAATCTACATAATAACATTTTGGCATCCATTCAAAAACGAATCTTCCTACCTAACAGAGCAACTATTTTTCGATTTCCAGATCGGTCCTCCAGAGCTGAATAAGTTTAGATTTTATAATAAGATGTGGGATATACCACAAACAGTTGTTTACATCGAAGACATTGCTCGACACTGGGGACACACTGAATCCAGTTTATTCTTCGAAAATGACGGAACACTGGAATTTGCCAAGAAACTTAGGGACGTAAGTAAAGCTGAAACTTTTTCAGAACACAACCGTACCTAATATTTGATTATTAAAACCTGCTAAAACATTTAAAAATTATGAAAATAATGTTTTATTACACTATAAAGGAATATTGTAAAATAAAGTAATAACAGACTGTGGCTTTTTGATGTGATCCGTTTACTTTGATGCAAAGGATTTACATTACGTTTGGAATCGAGGCTGGAACCCTAATAACTTATACCTGACTAACTGAAATGTTCGGAATTAAACTAGTCAGTCTGAACGTAAGAAGATAATGCAAGCATGTCTTATTCTGAATAAATGCTGATTTTTATTGAAAAAATCAATTTCAATACTTCTACAATACCCGGGGACTTTTCAGTTGGTAGAAAGCTGCTATAAGAATAGTTGTGTCACAATTCCAAAAGTGGCGACAAAGATATCGAATTTGGAAAAGTCCAGGGATTCTGACTCGGATTGGCTGCCATTCCTAACAAATTTAACAGGTATTGAAGATTTGAATGAAAATGATTTGGTTTACTTTAAAATGGAGACCAATCCCAAGGACAACTACATATCGAAATTGAACGAACTCCTTGAAAGTACCCCTACCAGGTAAACGCATTTCACAATGATTAAAAATCACTATTAACAAACAAATCACTTTTAGGCATTGGCTGAATTATATTATTATATATCATGTTGTGCGAAACTATCAATATTTATCGACACAGTTTCAATTTTATGTTAGCGAAATGGGCTTTGAATTTTTAGAAGAATCATCAGATCGACAGGAATTTTGCCTTTCCGAAATTGGCAAATAGTAAGAGCAGCTTTCTTTTCTTGTTTCACCCACGATCACATATTATTTTCTCCAAATTAAGCTATCGTAAGGATGTCGAACAAGGTGCCAATCATCTAGTTACGGATGAAGAAGAACAGCAAATCCGCACCATGTACAACTACACACACAAAGCTCTGACAGAGCGTTTGCGAATTGAGTTTAAGGACAATAAAAGTCTTCGAGAGGGTTCCTTAAAGCTACTCAAAAATATAAGACTTTATATCGGAGCCAGTGAACATTTCTTCGAAGATGACCCGTTCAGTGACGCTTTGGCTAATAAGGTATGAACGAATTTAGTTCTCTTATCTTTGAACCCCTTTTAAAACATATTACCACGTTTTCTGATTTTACTGTTCTGTAGTCGGAAGAACTTAGCGATAATGCAATAGAAATGATTCATAACCTGGAACGAAAGAGGATGGACCATATATTTGGTTTAATCCGAAAACCGAAGGGAAATTATAGCAGAATTTTAGAGATAGGAGCTAATACGTTCACGTACAGTGTGGATGACTCTCTATGTAAGTGCCTAGGTCGGACTCATTGCCCCCTTCAGAAAGGACTTAAGTTTATATTACAGGGTGACTCAAAAATAGCAATTTTTTTTATTCCTTTTAAAGAATAATAGGGGCTCACTTATAAAGTACAAGAAAAATATTGAAATTTTTTTTCGATAATTTCTAGAAATTTTGCAAAATAAATTATTCAATATTTTTCTCCTACTCTCCAAGTGAGCCCCCTTAACCCTTTAAAAGAAATGACGCCAATTTTGAGTCATCCATGTGGAAGCCGACAATATTTTTCAAAATCTTTATTACAAGAGTTTATCAGAAACGCCAAAATTTTCAAACTGAAATCAACTGAACATTTCTCAATGTGAAAAAAACCTTCTAGACTGCCAAAGTTTGCAATAATTGCTACTTGATGCTCTGAATAATTATCGAAAGGCAAAGTGTTCAGCTCTGTACCAACATTTTTGAAACAAAACGAAATTTTGAAATAATACTAAAAATAATTTGTTTAGATTTGTTGACGCCAAGTTTACGCGAGCCAATATACAGCTTACACCGTCCGGAATATACCAACTATGGATCTTTGGGCTCTATCATAGCACATGAATTAATGCATATGTTTTATCATAGAATGTTGAACAAAACCGATGATGGTACATTAACAGAATGGGAAACAGCAATAGAAACGCACCGTAAAAATAGCATAGCTTGTGCGAGACATTCTTACATACATTACTATAAACAACTATTGAATTCGACCGTAAGTAGCCATTTTTAGTTCCCGATTATTTAAAAATGTTGAATTATATACAGATATATACAAAGTAGTAACGAAAAGAACAACTCATTCATAGATGTTTAATTCTACTTCAGTTCAACTCATTCATGTTTAAAACTGAAACATTCATAATTCAACATGAAACATTTGAAATGTTAGAACTTTTTTTGATGATATATTTTACTTAAAGAATATGCTAGTAGTTTTACTTCCGTATCGTGATATGGAAGAGGTATTATCGGAT